GTACAGATCAGAGTTTATAACTGTACAGATCAGGGTTTATAACCGTACAGATCAGGGTTTATAACTGTACAGATCAGAGTTTATAACTGTACAGATCAGGGTTTATAACCGTACAGATCAGGGTTTATAACTGTACAGATCAGAGTTTATAACTGTACAGATCAGGGTTTATAACCGTACAGATCAGGGTTTATAACTGTACAGATCAGAGTTTATAACTGTACAGATCAGGGTTTATAACCGTACAGATCAGTGTTTATAACTGTACTGATCAGGGTTTATAACTGTACAGATCAGAGTTTATAACTGTACAGATCAGGGTTTATAACTGTACTGATCAGTGTTTATAACTGTACAGATCAGTGTTTATAACTGTACAGATCAGTGTTTATAACTGTACTGATCAGGGTTTATAACTGTACAGATCAGGGTTTATAACTGTACAGATCAGGGTTTATAACTGTACAGATCAGTGTTTATAACTGTACTGATCAGGGTTTATAACTGTACTGATCAGGGTTTATAACTGTACAGATCAGTGTTTATAACAAACAGATCAGTGTTTATAACAAACAGATCAGGGTTTATAACAAACGGATCAGGGTTTATAACTGTACGGATCAGGGTTTATAACTGTACAGATCAGAGTTTATAACAAACAGATCAGAGTTTATAACTGTACAGATCAGTGATTATAACTGTACAGATCAGGGTTTATAACAAACGGATCAGGGTTTGTAACAAACTGACTCAGTTTCTCCTTCTTGTCCTCCCAGGATGATCCAAGAGGAGAAGGAGAACACGGCCATCCGTGCAGACGAGATCGAGTGCAGAGTGGGTGGTGATGATGGTCTGGGAGGACGGTTCCGCTCTTTGAGCTCCATCCCWCCATCACTGTGTGCGGGCTCATCGTTGAGGGGTTCACCGCCTAGCTCGGGCCACTCCACCCCCAGACGCATCCCTCGTAGCCCCAACCGAGAACTGGACCGGATGGGGGTCATGACGCTGGTAACATGTTTTTAWTGATCTGTAGATTCTGAGCAGTAAAGTTTKATTTCTGATGCTGGTTTATTTTGGTGTTTGTTGATAATTGTGTGCTGTAATAGCTGCTCATTAGTGTGGTATTTGTTTGTATATTATGCCACTGCTCCCTGCACATAGCAGTACTGCTATGACCCGTACATCATCCAGAGCTCCCTCTCCCAGCAGACAGTAACTTACCTGCCTTTTGCTGCCTCTGGCTTCAGTCCTCCCCCACAGGCTTGTAGCTATGCACCTTATTTCCAGGTACCTGYAGATCTTTCTCCAGAGTGTCCTTTTCTTTGTAAAGACTGTTTATATTTTGGACCAAGTGTCCTCACTTCCTCTTTATATTAAGATTAGTACTAAGAATCAAGTTTACCAAAGCTTTTTTTGTCAGCATGGTGATAYTGACCGTGACTGATTTATAATTGTAATAAAAGTCAATCATTGGAGGTGTTTAAATGTTTTAAAGTCTCTGTGCTTTAACCACTGCCCTGCACTGGTGTATCTGCTTTATTTAAACATCAAATAAAGAATCAGTTAAATGTATTAAAGAATGGATTTGAATATAAAGCAGCAAGGTAAAAACAAAGTGAATCAACAGGAGTCAACACCTGGAAAAAATCATCTGAGGCTTCCTAAAAGKGGGCGGGACTTTACCTGTACAGTCCGGTCTCGGTCTCTGCGCTGTGTTTGTAGGTCTAGATATAAACAGTCTGTGAATCTTTCCTGAGTGGGTGCAGTCTGCCACTTCCTTCCTTCACAGAGAACATGTTTTCATTGTCTCTGTTGTTGTGTTGCCTGGTCTAAACWGGCCTTACTCATTCGGACTTCATTCTCACTGCTTATTTTACAGGATGGCAAACAGCAGAACATCAGTCTAAACTCCTCTAACAGTGGACTGGTGTGGGACAGTTTTATGTAGGAAATATTAAAGACACTTCAGGGTTTAAGAGCTTTAATACAAAGAGAGTCTGTGAGCGCTGAGAGGAAACTAAAGTCTGTAGAAGTAGCTGAGTGAAAACAGACAGAGATATCTACATTTTGAACTACAAGCATAAAATAAAAAGGCATTTTTGGTGGAGGTGAATTTTGGGCTCAATCCTTCATTTCCTTTTCCTGTTTTCCTTTTCTACTTGAGTAATCTCTGCTGTGACCGGGCCCTGCTGTTAGCTGAGTGAAGGAAATGAGTAATTAGATACTTTCCTCCTGGGGGCCAGAGAAACTCTGAGAACTGTGGCACACTAACCGTGTTTCCATCAAGGCTTTTTGATGCACCTTTAGAAGTGTCACATTAAAAATGCAAAAAAAAGTTGGATAGCCTCGTCTGACGTAATCACGCGTTGCGTAGCCTTGTCTGACGTAATCACGCGTTACGCAGCCTCTTATATTCGCATCAAACAGTCGAGAGGGAAACTAGATGGAAACAGTCTAGATTCAAATTTTTATTTATTTAATTTTTTGTGAATATTGAAAAGTTTGATAAAATTTCACTGTACTCCTGGATGGAAACACGACTACTGGTGCTTTATTTGCTCTGCTCGGTTTCTGAAGGTGAAGAGAGCCTCTCGTTTCTTTTGAGACAAACGTAATCGAGACATGGATGCTCGTGAATTCAGCTCTGACTGTTTTAGTTGGTGTAACACAAAAATTTCATCTACTTCACTAACCTTTGTAGTAGATCTGTTTTAGACTGAAGCAGGCTCTGGTTGGTTCTGGTCCAGTCTCCTGCCTGGTTTTGTTTTGACTTTTAACTGTGTGTAGTGCTGTTTCTGCAAACCTGAGCATCTTCACTGCATCGARCAGTTTGTAAGAGTTTGCTGTGATGTGTTGAACAGTGTGCACACATCTGTCTGTTTGTGCATGGCCTGGTTTTACTGCTCATCTGCGTCTCACTAACTGCTTTTCTCCTCTCCTCTTTTTGACCATGCTTCAGCCTAGTGACCTGCGCAAGCATCGCAGGAAGGTAAACTACTGGTTTCCTGCTTTACAGCGCTCTGTGTGAAACAAGTCATAAAGCTCTCACATCAAACACAAAGCYAAATATTTAACCTCTCCTTTGGTTCAGCATCACCCTGCGATGCACACAAAGTGATGCTTTGCACCTGAAAACTGATTTTTCCCTACCGAACTGATGTGCAGAACTCTTGTTTCATCATTTACAACAGTGTGAAGTAGTTGTTGCATTCAGAGGAACACAGCAGTGTCAGGTAGAAGAGTAATGGAGAACTGTTAAACTCTGACCTCAGCAGTAAAACTCATCACTGAATTAAAACACATTAATAAAAACACATTCAGATGAGTGGAATGATGGGAAACATTACATTAACTCATATGTTGACTCTTTCCAGAGCTGTAACGTAACTAAGTACAAATACTTTGTTACTGTACTTAAGTAGAATTTTTGGGTATCTGTACTTTATTTGAGTAATTATATTTCAGTCTACTTTTTACTTCTTCTTCTCCTTACATTTTATAAAAAGACAAGAAGCATAAAGTCGTTACTTTTATTTCATTTCTTCTTGTTTTCATTGCAGCTTGTTGTTGTAAAAAATAAAAGCTATCCATATAAACTGAGCCTCCTAGATAGAGTGAATTTAACTGTGGTTGAATGAGAAGTATAAATATATAAAACTCTGATAGTGTATTAGTTTGTACACAAACAAAT